AGATATTCGTGAGGCTGTCGCCTCCCTCGGTTTCGGTTCTACTCACTCCGTGAGTTGCGGATCAGGTTAGATTACACAGTCAGACAGGACGTCCCTCCTACGCTGCGCTCCTCCTCCTCCTCCTCCTCCTCCTCCTCCTCCTCCTCCTCCTCCTCCTCCTGGACGGCGCGGCGAGGTCGGTTGGGGGTTTCCGGGGTCGCCACGCGGTCCGTCGCCACGCGGTTTTGGGGGCCCGAGGTGGCGCGGTTTTTTGGGGCCCCGGAGTGGGGATCGCCATCTGTTGTGAAGTCGGGCGCGTCGGGATATACATTTTTTAAAACAATGTTTGAGCATTTTTGGCATATTTTTTTAGTATTCTGAATTTTTCGTCCAAAATCCTCCTGTCGGGGGACACGCCCGGCCTAAACCTGTTGGAAGATCGCGGAGGAGGGAGGACTGAGGATCAACGTTTTGGATACTATTTGGGTGTCTTTGGGAGTCCCAGGGGGGTCCAGGGTGGCGATGGGGTCAGATTTCAACTGGACGGTCCAGATCCGGAGAAAACCGGGACGGTCCAGATCTCAACCGCCGGACAACGCTGTGTAAAACATTCTTCTTGCATGATCGTCCTGGCAATGAAAGCCGAACGGTTTCCCTTGAGGGAACTCACCAGGTTTTCATAGTGCGCAGCTGGGATCTAGATTTATGTCAGGCGATGCCTGCCACAGGCCCCCAGACAGCGAAAACATCCATGTAACCCAGAAGTGACCCAACAGGAAATTTGCCACATTCGAGCAGAGTGTGCCCAGGGGCGCCGTCATCACCCTCAGAGATCCCTTGTTCGACACCAAGAGCGTTTGCGTTGCCATTGCCACGCTGCGTTGCGGCGACGTTTGCACTGCAGCGAAGTTGCATTGCGGTGGCGTTGCAGTGCGTTGCATTGCGGCATTGCGTTGCAAGCGACCGTGTGCTGACGTCGGCGGCATTGCATTGCGGCGACGTTTGCACTGCCGCGATTCAACGTGCCGAGTTGGCAACGCAAGCGCTCTCGGGGCCACAACGTATCTCTGACGGCGATGACAGCGCCCCTGGGCACACTTTGCTCGAGCGTGGCAAAGTTATGGTTGTCTCACTTTGGGGCGGGCTCAAAAGACCAAAGGGCAGCGCCTTGGTTATAGAGGGGTCTCACGTGGGCTGCGCCGACATCGGCGACATTGCATTGCGGCGACATTTGCATTGCCGTAATTGTCATTGCTTCCTGCGCCCGATCATCCTCCTTCCGCCCTGTCCTCAGCACCTCCCTCTGTCGCCGTGCGCTCCATTGCGCCATGTTGCGGCCCCCCATCTTGCCTCCTTTCTCCTCTTTTGTCCTCCTTCTCATTTCACTCCCGCCGCCCCTCCCCGACTTGGATGCCCCTTGATACTTTGTACTTGCGTGATACGCTCGGAGGGAGCATGTGCATATGATACAAGAAGCCAAATTGTTCTAGAATGCAAAATAGCTCGTGTGCGTGTATTTTTGCCGGAGAATTGTGAATCGTTGTGACGGGATTTCGGAGTCCTGATTCGCATGCAGTAGTAGACGTATCCACAGGGAGAATACAGCCACGGGGCTGCTGCAGTAGTAATTCGTGCCTAGTTACCTTTATGAACCCCGAAAATGGCACTCGCACTCCTGCCCGCCACCCGATTCCCCCTTCCTTAATTCTATCCCATCTCCCACGCGGTACTCCTCACTTGGGCCACGTGCGCGTTGCGTCTTGATATGTTGGTTTAATTGCAGTGCGCAACCTAGGTATCGTGTGATTTCAGGACTTCGTATCCTCCCCCCTTGCATTGCGTCCTCAGCTTCCTGCTTTATTCCTCCCCTCCTCCTCCCTCCGCCCTGCCGAGTCGTCTCTCATTTGGGGTGTTTCGCTCTTGGGTTCTCCATGGCCGCGGCCTCGTGATGAGAAGCTCCGACAGTCGTTCTGATGCGTTTGCTTAGGTCAGCTGCGTCTCCACCGAGAGCTCGAACATGTGGGTCGAACCTCGCGCGACGGCGGCTTTTTCTTGCCGCTCAACAGCTTTGCGGTTGCATTGCGTTGCTGGCTTGCCCTGTTCGTTACAGCCACCGTCGGAGGTATGTCGTGTAGCTTGACCACTTGTCCAGGGGATGTCGGAACGTCGCGTCGTGGGTGAATGCGGTCGCGCTCTCAGTGCGTACTGAACCGCGGCGAGCTCACAGGCCAGGTCTGCAGTGAGCGCTATCAGTCAGGAGGGGGGCAGTTTCAGCGGTGACCAGTGTTATGTGTCGGCGATGGAAATCTGCCGCGAGCCACCAGCCATCAACGTCGCTATTGCAGCCGCCGTTCTGGTTCCGTTTTACTTGAAGCTGGGCTACCGCCCGATATTGTTTCGTCGCCGTCGCGCTGTTCAGCTTGGCGCTGGCCATGGGCAAGGCGCCGCCGCCTCCGCCAACGGGCCGCCCCGGCGCCCGTCGCGCGGGCAGGAAGGCCGGCAACGACGGCGATGCCAGCCGCGGCTCAGCTTCGGAGCGGCTGTCGGGCAGTCCAGGCAGCGTGCCAGGAAGGTCCGGGACTCGTGCCAGTGCGGCTTGCGCAAGGCCATGTTGACGGACGCATGCCATTCGTCATTTCTCTATCGACGCACCTTCCCTCCCTAACTCATCCCCCCCCCCACCCTCGCAGCAGGACGGCGAGCCTTGGGCTCTGAAGCAGGTCGTCAGCAAGGCGAACGGCAGCGACCAGGTGCCCGTCGGCGACGCTTGCGAAGAGTGCTACAGCCTCCACCACGACGGATTTCCGTATCTCACTTGGGAGGACCCGTGCAGCCAGAACGAGAACGACGAGAACGTGGAGTCTAACGTCACGAAGGCTCGGTGCGTGAAGTCGGGCTCGGTTGCCGCGCCATTAGTCGCGGAGTCGACGGCTACCCGCGACGAGTACGGCATCGAACTTCGCGAGTGTTTCATCGCGCTGGGCGAGTCGGAGCTCCGCAGCGTCACGGACAGGAAACGGTTGTCCAAGAAGTTGACTCTGACGTTTTAAGCCAAATTGTAGATCCTGCAGGGCTTAACAGCACTGAGAACCATACCTTGTACATGTTCTCAGACTCGGAGCACCCGCGCAGGATCGTGGACGTCGTCGCCAGGAAGGGGGGCAACGTGCAGACCGACACCATGCCGACCAGCAACCATTACTACTACGACCAGGCCAGGCGCATCGCCCCCCGCAACATCGCCGACGCGTTCGCAGCCCGCCCCTTGCAGTGGCCCTCCGCGTTTGTTTGCATCAGGGTGGGCGTCCAAAAAGCATGGGCCAATGTTGGCCTTCCTGAATCGGTTGGTCCACATCCTGTCCAGCAGTGTCCAAAACGCATGTCCCAAAACAGGTTAGGTCAGCGTTGATTTGAGTTTCCCTTGGTGCCACCCTCAGCCAGAGATCGAACGTCGAGCTCCTGCTTCAAATTGAGCCTGCTTCGATCAGGACCCGGGGCCAAGCGCCTCCTGGGGGGCGACGTGCGTTTGAACAGTTGAGGAGCGTGTCATTCAAGCTTCGGTTGTCATGCAAAGTCCAGAGGATTCCGCGTTGATGGGTCCTTGCGGCATTGTGGAAGACAACAATGACTACTAGATCGACAGTTGCATCTGTAATGAACGACAAGTCCGGGTAGAGAGGATATCTCATCGATTGCGTTGTGAAGTTGCCTGGGATGGTTGAGCACTCTCAGAAGTTCCAGCAGTGCACCTCGTTGATGGCCAGCGACTGGGCCCCGCGTTGGAGAATTTTACCGCTCTCAAGGAGACAGCCCTCTTCATATCTGAGGCCCCCAGACGTCAGCACAGGCGCATTGGGCGACGTGCAGAGCATGCTCTACAATGCGTTCCAGAAGCATGCTGCGTTCGTGGATGGCGACGCGGGCAATGACCACGCGGCACTGCAGCGTTGGTCCAAGGCAGTCGAGGAGGCCACGATTTGCTTCTCAGGCTTATACGGCGTGGAACGATGGAGGGCATCGATTGCGACTGAGCTTGCTAACTTCGCCGCGAGAGAGAAGGCATCGAGCTCGTTCGCGGTATTTGTTTCGGCGTGCGAGTTGAATCCCTCCGAGCAGATCACTTGGGAAGAGAAATGGGTGGGCGATATCAGCGGGCTTCGGGCTGCAGCCGCAGGCCATGTGAATTTGGGGTGGGTAGGCGATAGACGACCAGAAGTAATCCGTGATGGTGTGTTTCAATGAATCGTGCAATCTCTTTGCCCAGTTAGTCAGCAGCCGATCTGACTCGGGCCGCGAGACCCTTGGGCCCTGCAAGGGGCTGATCGCGACAATGGCGGGGCTGTGTCCTGAAGAGGTCGGGGCCCGCATCGGGGCTTTGGGGGTGTTCCGCGGTGCGAAGATGGTCTGGTCGGACCTCTGGAGCGACGGAGAAGGCGGGCAGTTTGGCCTCGATGACTTGCTCAACAAGGGAACAGTTCGCGGCGAGTAAGAGCAGTTGCAGCAACGTGCGATGTCGTTGCAGGAGCAGCTCGGGCCCATCTGCGAAGCAGGGTGCCCCATACGTTATCATACTATAAACAGTTTCTGCCGGGGGGCGAAGGATCTCCTCGGCGACGCCACCAGGGCGCAGCGCAACGTCGACGCCAAGCACCTCAAGGATGCCATCAACACGTGCGCTTTGGTCGCCGCGGCTGTTCCTGACATTTCGGGCCCGAGGCAGTCGTGGCTGGACCTGTTCGCGGGCGCGACGTTCGCTGAGCTGCATAGCCGCGCGAACGAGACGGCTCCCCGGGTCGGTTCGCAGAAGATGAGATGGTCGCGGCGAAGGGCGGCCTACGCAAGGCTGTGGGACAGCGCAAGTGCGCCCCACCTGGGTACGACGAGGTTAGGGGGATGGATGCAGGAGAAGGGGGTGGGGGAGGGGGAATTGGGGGATGATGGAGAGGGCGGAGGAGGATGGCCTGATCGACAGGGGGTGGGGGCGGGCCCGCGAGGTCGCCCCTCCGAGTGTTTCGAGCGTCTCGCAGGCAGTCGCGAACTACGAGGGTTCCACTGCGATGGCTGGCAAAAGCATCGACGACGCTCTCCTGCTGAGGGCTGATGAGGTGCTGCGCGACTGCGCGGTGACGCCTGTCTACGGAGCGCAGGTGGCAGAGTTCGCCAGCGACATCGGTTTTGAGTCGCTCCGCGACGCCGTCGCGGTAGAGATCAAGGAGTACAGGGCGGCGACGAACCTTTGGGATCAAGACGTATTTCGCAAGCTCGTCATGCAGGGGGTCGCCCAGGCCCCCCAGATGAAGCCGCCGTCGTGGGCTGCCCGGTGCCCGACCGAGCACGCGAAACACGTTCCTGTATTCTGTGAGGGCCGCTCGAGCAGCAACGCGCGCGATGGCGCGCGCCCCCTCGACGAGACGCCCGCGCCCCGCGAGCAGCGCGCGAAACGGCGCGCGCATGGCGCGCAACAGTGCGTCATTGCTCGAGCGGCCCCACCAGTCTCGAGCGCAGCTCCGTGCCCGAGGCGCGGGAAGTTGCCGCCCGCCCAGTTTTGGGCCCTGCGGCGGCCGAGGTGTATGCATCGTGTTCACTCGAGTCCCGAATCCGGTGTTCATTGCGCCGCCCCTTTCGCCCGCCCCGCGGCCCCTCCCCGTCCTTCCAGCCTCCGCAAGTCACCCCCCGACCCCCCCCGCCCCGTTATCCCCCTCTCATCGCCCTTGTCTCATGCCGTTCCATCGTCCGATCCTCCCGTCGCGCGCCTTCCCTGTCTCTTCCTTTTGTCGTCGGCGTCTTCGCGGGCCTCGATTTCCAGAGTTCGACCGCGCGCGGCGGTTGGCGGCGCGGCGCCAGGGGGGGTGCAGGAGGGGCGGCCGCGCGAGATTGACGCCCCTAGAGGTCCCTCGGGCTTCAGGGCAGCTGAGGGTTGAGAGTCGCCTAGGGTTTTGCGGCGTCGAACCTCATTCTGGACCTCCGCGGAGCAGCGGAACCGCAGGCCCCGCTTACCGACGCCGCCCTCCACGGACGAATATGCCCTGGACCCCCGAGGCACGACCACTTGCTTGATGGAGGGGGTGGGCGGGATCGCGATGGCGTTGGCTTATGACTAGGTCCTGGTCCCAGGCCGAATCGGAGATCCTCCATCGGTATTTCCTAGATTGACGGTTCAAGCCTGCCGAACAGTCGGGCATGCGTGCACCGCGCCTCAAATAGTATAACACCCAGCGCTTGCAATGCAACATGAACAGAGCCTTCGATCGAAAAGTCGGTCTCGGGCCTTCAGAGTCAGGTCTATGTGCTCTGCGATTCCAGGGGTGGGCGATGGCTTCGGGCATCGGGTATGTATGCTTGTGGGGCGTGCCACAAATTATATGAATCTCGTTGAATTACGTTCGTGGTTATATTTTTTCTTCGCTTGCCGAGAGTCGCAGAAGTTGCATTTGGGTTACTGTTGGGTTATATTAATGCTTTCGCTGGCTAGAAGCCCGTGCCCCCCCCCCCCCCCGCCTGACATTAACCTATACCGCCCAATTGCGCTATTATTTGCGAGTTCGAAATGCCCCAGGAGGGCCTCATCGACTCAAGGCGCTTCAGGACGGCAGTGTATGCGAACGTATACGATATGTATAAATATAGCATCGCACGTATGCGAAACGTTGAGGACGCGTATCCGAAAGTTAAAAGCAGGAGCGCATTCGAAACGTATGCGGGACGTTTCGGGAACCCATGCGACACGTACGCCCAACTTACACGGTACGCACACGCAGCGTCTATGACATGTGTATGACGGTAGCAACCCTTCAGGAATCGTCACATTTCCCATATGCATCGTTCAAGGATCCCTTAAACTTGCCATGCTGTTTTAACGAGTCGTGCGGATTCTGCAGCAATCCTTTCGGAATCTGAAAGGGGTTCTTCTAGGAATCTTTCCGAAACCCTCTGCGGTCCTCGTGAATCAAAAGGAATGTTTGTGGAATCCTGAAGGCAACTGTCAGGAATCCTCAGGAACCCCTCAGGAATCCTTCGGGCCCCTCAGGAATCCATCCGGACACCTTGGAGGAATCATCAATCTACCCTCAGGAGTCCTCAGGAATCCGTCAGGAAGCTTCAGAAGAACCCACGGGAATCCTGCACGAAACCGAGGAGGCGCCTTCAAGGAAATGCTTTTGATGTGCCTATGGATCGCCTGTGTAGCACCTTCCCAGCGCTTCAAGCGTTTGGAAGCTCACACAAGAGTGGTTGGGATCTGGGTTTTCTTATTGGTTGGGATCTGGACCGTCCAGTTGGGATTCGGACCTCTCTCGGGGTGGTGGCGACATTTTGGTGGTGACCGCTATTGGCAGTGGTTTGGGGGAGTGGAGGGGCGTCAAGTATCCACATCACCGCTTCTGGCCAGGCTCATCCTGAGCCACGGATCGGTGCTTGCGCCCTCCTGCCTGGCCCAGCTAGGGAGGCACATGCACCATGCCTGGGCCCAGGATCGGCCCGGCCAGGACTTGCGTGGAGGCCCTCGAGAACGCCAACATGTCC